TCTTTCTGCCGCAATATGCTTGGTAAGCCATCTCCATTCATCACGACTGGATGCATACTAATATCATCTTAGGTGGCATATTCCCACTCATCACGACCCAAATGTATAATAAGCTTGGGTATGGTCCTGCCAGCAGTCTGCTTGGCGGAATTGGCGCGTTGTTGACCATTGTGCCGTGGATTCTGGTGTTCTATGGACCTAGGATCAGAGCAAGGAGTAAGTTCGCAAGTGAGATTATGGATGTCACCTCTTGAGAGGCAAGGTGGTGTCTGATAGATATATTGCATAGCAATTCATTATTCAATAAACGGAGAATTTCAAACGTGACTGCTGTCGCCAGATGCAAGTAAACCTTGGTAGCCGAATCGGGTTAGTCAGGCCAGTTGTTGCATCATCGCAGCTGTGACCCGGCAAACTGCACACTTGCACAGCCTCACAAGTCAGCCCTGCCAGCTGCCAGTATCCACGAAAAGATGCGCACACACACTTCACCTTCGTCGGAATCCATAGAGATGCATGCGCCTTTCCTTCCGATCTCCACCATAACCTTTAGTGGCGACTCATGGAACTTGCCATAACAACAAGTGCTCTTTCCGCTCGCTCATAACCATGGACGATCTCCTTCCATCTTACGAAAGTGTCATGCGACGCGATCCTTGGGTGCTCATCGCTCCCTATCTGCCCTCTCAAGACCTCTGCTCAGCAGCTTTGGTCAACCGGCAATGGCACCAGACCTTTACACCGAACCTTTGGGGTAGCCCGGCTTCGCACTTTGGGGTCCAGAATGATACTGTATATGGTGGGTTATTAAGACGCAGAGACAGTGATACATACTGATATCCAATAGTGGCACTCACACGGTTCAAGCGCACATTACCTTATGCGCGAGCTTCTGTAAGAGAGCTCACACATACTCTCCGTTTCCCGCCGGCTCATGCAGAGCTATATGATGGACCGCACGCAGAGTGGCTTCGAGACTGTTTGGAACACCTACCTCGTCTGCAGTGCCTAATCGTGGACGGCCTGCCCTTCTTCGATCACGCATGTCTTCTGAGCCTGCGACACTCAAGCCTGCAATGGAGGTTGACTCGCCCCAACGCATATCCAGTGTTCAGCCTACGCCTGCTAGATGCTTCTAGCTGTACGAATGCTACATCGACGGGCCTTGCAGAAGCTTTACCGCACTTTCCAGATCTTGTCTCGCTGGACCTATCAAAGACTGCAGCTGCGAGAGACAAGGGGGTTCTTTCGACCTTCAAGTACCTCCGAAATCTACGCGTGCTGAATCTTCGTGGAATTGGCATCAGGGATGAGGAGTTCTCAGTAGTTGCGCATGCAATCAGCAGCCGCGTCAGAAGTCTTGATATCAGCAACAACCTTTTGACCGACACTAGCGTGCGACTCCTTCTTGAACTGTGCTTGAAAGAGAGGGTGGTTATGACGCATTCTTCTCGTGGACCACTGGCGCCTGTCGAAAACGCGAACCCAACCGATGGACCAGAGATCTTTGAGTCTGAAAACCTCGTGGGCCATCTTCGCAAGAAGCTTACAGGCGGCTTCATCGGCAGCCTAAGCATTGAGGAGTCGAGCGATGTCGGAGTCTCCCATTTGTATCTCTCTAGTAACGCAATAACTGTTGAAGGTATATCGGCTTTGCTGCGATCGAGACGCTTGCAAGTCCTAGATGTGGGTATACTACCCGCTGTAGTGACGCATCCTTCTAACCTCACGCTCGAAACACCGAATGATGACTTGGAACTACCTAGCGTATCAAAGCTTACTCCAGTACTTGCAGAGTATGCTTCATCTAGACTGCGATACTTGCGGATCAACTACGAGTTGGTGACAGAAGACGCTTCGTTTGAAACGCCCAATTCGCCGCGCGCGGAACTCACTGGGGACTTTGCTATCTACAAACCTTCAAATGCGCACGAGCTCGAAGCTGTAGAGCCGCCGACACCCGAACTCGACTCTATCCCAATAGCTGTACACGAGGTTCCAGGAGATTCATCATATCCGATCGAGCTTCCCGGTTCACCTGTAACGCCTCAGCTCGCTGAAAACGACAGGCCAGAATCAGAATTTGCCGATGGTGAAAGGCTAGACGCCAAGGGCGTTCCTGAAATATGCGTTACTCCGCAATCACTACAGATTAACCGAGATCCTGCCTGTGCCCCGGAAGTCATACCTGTAGACTCGCCATTGAGCCCTCTTAGCCCACTGGGAAACGGGATCTACCATCCTCACGCAGCTGCAAATAGACATGATCCTGGAGAACGCCTTTCATCGTCTACGCCGGCCCACGGCAACAGTACACTGGATCAACCGACCAGCAAGACTACGCCAAGGTCACGAGGCAATTCGTTCTACTACATCGAGGACAGAAAAGTCCGACTGGACTTTCGCCAAGCAAGTGAACCTCGACTACATCCTGGGATGCTTCCGAAGCTTCACACTCTCGTTCTGACGGATGTGCCGACCATGACCAGCGATAGGAACATTGTTCATCGGATTATACAGTTTATTAAGGATGCAGCCGAGGAGGCTTCAATCGCCAAGCAACGGGCCAGGCACACTTATGTTCTACCGCCAGGACGTAGGCGTGCCATAGCAGAAGAAGAGTACGCACGAAACCAGTTTGCCCTTCGGAGAGTAGTACTTGAAATGGCGGCGCCTCAGTCAGCGCCTAAGAAGATCTCCAGTAGCTGGCGGGCTTATCCAACAAAGTCGACTACTGAAGATGCGGACTCTGAAGCATTTTGGGAGGCAGTAACGCATGACTTCTCCTTCTTCGACGATGAAGAGTGCGGACAGCCTGGTCGTGAGCCAGGCCGCACTCTGCCCTTGGCAGCTATGAGCGGATTGGAGCTTGCACCTAGCAATCCTGTCTTACCAGTGGACACAAGTAAGCATGTTTATGATACAATCCCGCTTATCGATGTGGTGGGTGAGATTGGCAAGTTTCGGCGAGAAAGGAAGGCCGCATACAATAATTTAGTGGAGATGGGCGAGGCTGAACCCGATGTAGAGGGGTACTGGCCTGGGGATATTACGGTTCTGAGGAAGCCGGTGAATTCAGAAGCTGGGGAACTCGACTGTTACGGCAATCGGTATGAATTGGGTTGGTTCTACCGTTGAACGCACTGGCGTGGCGCAGCACTAGCATAGGATAACGCTTTTACATTCCGAAGTCACTTAGTAGGCTGATAGGCTATCATGGCACATGCCTGAGTGTATTAGAGACCTTTTCCCAGCCTTCTTGGAATTATCCAGTCCTTCAGGGTGGATAACCAATTACCGACAAGCTTACTCACCGGTTTGGTGACCGGTTCCAAGGGTTGCAGTGGGCTGACCCCGCGCACAATGACACCCACATCGACACACATCTGCCCACTTGAGCAACTGCTCTTGAGTTCTCATTTACTTATGCAGTTCATGGGTGCCAGAGCACCGCCCGCCACGACGTGACCGCAGACTTTATCCCGGTCTGGATGCACCGCCACGCAAAGGCTTCCTAGGCTCATCCCAAGCACTCCGTTCCACCGATACTGGCCATCGAGCAGCATCGACGTACTTTCAAAAACGCTCAACATCCTTATCCGTTCTCTTACGGCTTCTTCGTACATCAGATATTACCATGGGCCAGTCGTGGAGCGGTCAGCGAACGATCCAAGCAGCTTATGAGCGACGTGGAAAGGTAGTCGCCTTGAAGTCGAGACAGTCAAAATCAAATCAAAGTTACGACAAAGGCCATAGTTCCTCTTCTGACGCAGACTCAACCGGACGACATCGGTATAGCCAGGCAGCTTCCAACGGCGTGACAGCCAAACCTGGACGCGGAGACCGCAGGTCGGCCTCTTCACATGCATCACATCCTACCCGGGTAATACCCATAGGTAAAGCCAAGAAAGAGCGTACATCAACATCCGACAAGCATCGAACCAAGAAAGAAGCTCCAAACAAGCCAAAGTCCAGCAACACTCACAGCAAAAGAGCGGAAGGCAGCAGTACGAAGCACAAGTCGCTCGACCGAGTAGACAGTCATCACCACCACAACGATGAACATGAACCTAAGAAAGAAAAGAAAGACTGTACAGTATGCACAAATGAGCTCTCACTGCACCACTTCCCCGATCGGCCGCCTACCAAGAATTGCAAGCACGAAGTCGACGTATGTCGAAAGTGTCTTCGCACATGGATCGCATCTGAGTCCAGCGCAAAACTGTGGAACGACATAACATGCCCTATATGTAAAACGCAACTGCGATCGGCTGATATGAGAGAGTTTGCGCCAAAAGAGATTTTCAAACGGTACGATTCCATTTCCCTACTCCCTTTCCACACCCCGCACATGCCCACCCAATCAAACACATCACTAACAACACAACCAGCTACGCCGCTCTCTCCTCCCGCGCCAAGCAAGAAGCCCGCCTGGGCTTCCACTGGTGCCCCCTCAAAGGCTGTAAAGCAGGTCAAGTCCACTTACCCAACACCCCCAAATTCCGGTGCAACGCCTGCGAAAAGACGTCTTGTGTCGTCCACAACGTGTCATGGCATAAAGGAGAGACATGCACAGAGTACGACTACAGAACAAATGGGAAGCTGAAGAAGGAAGAGGAGGAAGCGAGTAGGAAGGTGGTTGAGAAAACGACAAAGGCGTGTCCGGGGTGTAAGAGGCCGATTGAGAAGAATAAGGGGTGTGATCATATGGAATGTACGTATATATTTCTCGTGCAGGGAGAAGAGTTAGGGGTTTCGAAGTGTGTTACGTTAAAGCTGATCAATATGATAGGTGCGAAATGCCATGTCCACTTTTGCTGGAAGTGTTTGAAGCCGTATTATGCGTCCAGCACACTTGCGCGGAACACGGGGAGCCACTGTGTTTGTCATGGAGGACTTAACGAGGGCTGATTTGCTACACGCAGCGGAAGCTGGAAAAGACAGTATTTGCGAAGCCGAGAACAGGGAAAAGAAAGCTATTACACTCAATTCGCAACGTTTTACACAGTCAACTTCATCAGCAGTGCTGGTAGCCCAGCACGTGCCATATACGCGGCAGTCACCCCCACAACCGATGTCAAGACCATGTACTTGAACCAACCACTCTTCTTCCCTTTCTTCATCTCTTGCTTCTCCATCCAGTGCCACCCCTCAGCGCTCTCGTCAATCGTCCTCGTCGGCGCATAATCCAGTTTAGGCGCAACACTCAGCGATTCGATGAGCCCCGCTTTCTGAGACGGCACGATGTACTTGTGCAAATACCCAGCAAAGAAGTAATTAAAGCGTGACTGGTAGCTGTTCATGCGCGTGAGTTTGCCGCTGGTCTCGACGTATTCCTTTGCTCGTGCGTGGCGACCGGCTTGGTATTCGGCGAACAAGGCGGCGAGATCGGGGGTGGAGATGCGACGAGTGGGGTTGGAGGCGAATTCGCGGTGTAGGATGTTGCAGAGGTGGACGGCGGACTCGACGGCTATGTTGGCGCCCATGCCGAGGTCGGCTGTCATCTGGTATTGCGTTAGTGGTGCGTTCTGCTGATGATGAGTCTGGGACGGGTACTTTGTGTGCTGAATCTCCCACGAGGACTATGCGCCCGGCATGCCATTTACTCAGGACGCCTTCTTCGACATAGAGAAGGCCGTGCCGTTCGTTTGTCTTCCATACATCGCCCAGTGTGATGTTCTTTGTCATAGGAAGATCGGCGAACCTCTCCGCCACCGCCTCAATTTCTGCCTCAGTAGCTTTACCTTTCTGCTCTGCCTTTTGAAATTCGTCCTTGAAAGTGATACCCCACATAGCCCTCCCCATCTGCGAAAAGAGAAGCATGGTAACGTCCTGGCCGAGAATCATGTTCGTGTTGGAGGTGCCGAGTTGAGCATTGTCTGGAACCGTGCTGACGCCGAATAAACCTCTGTATTCTCCAAACGACATGACTTCCTTGTCGGTTTCGGGGATGCTGCCAGGTTCAAATTTGTCGGCGTGGTCCCACATGAGCTTGCGAACATGACTGTGCACACCATCTGCGCCGATGACCAAGTCTCCTTCTTCGGTAGAGCCATCGGCTAGGTGGACGCGAACACCCGTGTCAGTTTGCTCGATACGTTCAAGGCGCCTGCTGGTGTGAATTTTGGACTTATCCGGGAGCCCTTCGTATAGATGCGACACACAAGTCTGACGATCGAAAAGGATGCTCGGTATTTTGAAGCTTTCGTGGGGTCAGCGCGTGGTGCGTCCACTTCACACACATCATAGGAGTATGGCAACGTACAGTTTGCTCACAGCCTGCATAGTATCATCGCGACAGATCAAACTCCCGTCTGGCCATCTTTTGTAGGAAGCATCAACGGGCGACGTGGTCTTGGTGATTCTATCGAGAATACCAAACTGATCGAAGATACGTGCGACAGCCGGCCAGATAATCAGCGCTGCGCCTTTTAGTGAAACAATCTTGTCGTGCTTTTCGAGGACGACATGTTCGATATTGGCTAGTTGTAGAGCGTGTGAGAGCGACAAGCCGACAATACCGGCCCCAATAACAATGACCCGAAATGGCTTTGGGGATGTGGAATCTTCGTCTGCCATAATGAATTCTCCGATGCTGATGCAAGGGTTGCGCTGGGGAACACTGGGTCTTAGGTGCGAGGCCTAGAGCAAGGGATGGTCGTGACTCGAATCACTGCCGGCTTTACTATTGTTCTTGGATGACGCCTGTTGGGCCATATAATTTAGCCTGCTACTTTATGAGCCGTGTTGTATTGATCTAAATGGCTATGATTTGCAAGTATCGGGTGGTGCCACAAGGGAGGCTTCCAATGTTGGTGCCTTATCTCAGTTTCGATGATGCTGACACGAGCGCCTCGGGCGTCTTCTTACTTTGTAGACAAGCCATATCGTAGGGCTTGCGCAATGTACTCCATGTCTTGAATGCAGTACAGTCAGATCACTCGGAGTTGATCCAGGCGCTGTCTATCTGGTGGTGTGGAAGTGGGGATGTTGTTTGTACAGCGTCGCGCCTACATAGTCAGTATGGAAGCAGCCTTACGCGAGAGATGCGCGATGAGCATCGAGCTTGCTGCAGTGGAAGAAAACCATATACCCCGTCCAAACGACGTTTGCAAAAAATGTGTACACCTCTCCGATAATGGTACGATGGGCATGGTGAGTAGACGTGGAAAGATCAGCAAAAGAATACTCCGGAACTTATTGTTAACATCGTAGCCAGGGTGGTTTAGTGGATTGGTAGCACTGCTGACACCTTTAGGTGATGAAGTTGCCGAACAAGGCCGCAATGACTGTGTCCATGCAGGAACCAGCTCGCTTGTGACGTCGAAAACCTGGGGTAGTGGGATCTGCAGCCCTGGCCCGACACAAGATGTCGTGTGGAACTCAGATGTTCCCGGCTGCGCGACTCATGAAATGAAGTTGAATGCGAACCTGAACTAGTGATGTTTGTTAATCGGGTTACATTCCCTTGTGCGGAAAGCGACTCAGTAAACCTTCTAGATGGCTGAGTGAAATGGGAAGAACTCCGGTAGCACGTGAGGGCAAATCGGACTCGGGAAACACCTGTTGTGATGGTCACTAACGTCGGCAGAGACGACTGGATTGCCGAGCTTGGTAGTGACGGATCGGCCTTAACACGACGCGGTAGGGTGCAGTGAACGGGAGCTGCGACGAACTGCCTAGGTAGCCCACATGTCTCTTGGCACGCTAGCCGTGTTGGTCGACCCCAGCTCGCACCTCCAAGCAGGCGCATCACGGTATCGCGCCTGTCTCGCAGCCAACGTCCCTCCGCCCATCGCCCACCGCTGGCCCCCGAATCGATGAACACAGTGCACTCGATTTGCCGGGTGAATACGCGCTTGCCGTAGCTTGCACCTGACAGGACCGGCGCCGGCGCGTCATTTCGCGATCGCCCAACCTCACCCTTGCGGGTCTCTGGACACATCCGCACTTTCTACATGGCGCCTGTTCCTGACACACCACTACCACGCGTGAGAAGCACACGACCGCCCCGGCGACACATATCTGACTCAGCGCCAGCCAGCAAGCGGCGCAAGTACGTTCCAGGCGGACCAGGAGGCGGGGGACGATACGTGGATGACGAGGGGCTGGAGACGCCCGTAGGAGGAACTGGACCTGGAGGATACGCGTATACTGGTCCCCGTGGCCGTGTAGGACGCATCAACGCCGAGCGGCAGGGCCTGCCCATATCAGCGCCGTCGCCCTCATACACCAGACCCCGACGCGAAAGGCCGCCAGCTGGACCGCGTTCCAGTTCGGCCGCCGCAGTCGCCGCCGCCGTGGCTCAAAACGATGGATACAAGCCGCGCGAGGAGCGGAGCTGGGATGAATTTCATCCGGAACTGGACATCGACGCCGAGTTCCCCGTCTTCAGCGCAGACCAGATAGATGGCATCAGCCCTGCAGACAGCGCCCCAGGGACTCCGCTCAATGGCTCATCGACGGGCCAGTACGCCGTCGACAGCGGTCTCTCCGCGGTTCTTGACGGCCTACGGACGCAACAAGCAGAGGATGTCGCGCAAGAGCAGGAGGACGCAAGCTTAGCCGTCAACGGCTCAGGCGCCTTCGTCACACCAAAGCGACGCCCAGGTCGACCGCCTCGCAACCGAGACTCTATGCTAGCTGGGCTCGGATCGCCGCCCCGGCCACGAGTCAACCCCCTTCCGACTATGAATCCGAGGGAAAAGCTGAATCTGCCCAAGCCATCGGTGCGTCAAGTCGACCCGTTCAAAGAACACGAAGAAAGCGAGGGCGTCAAGGTCAACTATGTCGACAAGACCATGGCGAACATCGGATACCAAGAGAGCGAGATCTTCACAAGGCCATCGGAAAATAGCCTCATTAGACTACCAGAAGGCTCTATCGAAGAAGATCTGGATCTTACTCTGCAGACAGAGGCCGAAGGTACCGCAGGCGCAGTTGCTGTAGGTCGCGTCGAGTACGACATGGACGAGCAAGACGACCGGTGGCTGGAAGCACTCAATGTACAGCGAAAAGAAGAGGGTGTCGAAGGTATCAAGCCTGCGATATTCGAAGTGACCATCACCCAGATCGAGAAGGAATGGCACGCGCTGGAAAAGCGTAAGTTTTGTGGTGCTAAAACGAAGCGAACGTAACGGCTGACATGTGAAAGGCATACCCAAACCCAACCCGAAGCCACCTCAGACACATCGACCACGCTCGAGCAGTGCAGCTGCTGTCAACGGAGAGCCTGCTGGCCAAGGCGAAGAGCAAGATACGAAGTGCGCCATCTGCGACGACGGCGACTGCGAGAACACAAATGCAATAGTATTCTGCGATGGTTGCGACTTAGCCGTCCACCAGGAGTGTTACGGCGTGCCCTTCATCCCAGAGGGACAATGGCTGTGCAGACGGTGTCAACTGGTCGGGCGCGGCACCCCTGTCAGCGAGCTTCCGGTATGACCTGTTCCTTGCTGCTTTACCAAATGCATGCTGACACTCACAGGGTTGCATATTCTGTCCGAATATAGACGGTGCATTCAAACAGACAACCACAATGAAGTGGGCACATCTGCTGTGCGCCATGTGGATACCAGAGGTATCACTGGGCAATGCGACATTTCAAGAGCCAGTGCAAGACGTTGAGAAAGTACCCAAGACTAGGTGGAAACTGGTAAGTGATCGAGATTCCTCATCGTTCGAGTAGCCCACTAATTGCTTTGTAGTCTTGCTATATCTGCAAACAGAAGATGGGCGCCTGTATACAATGCGGCCACAAGTCCTGTTTCGAGGCTTTCCACGTCACATGTGCACGGAGGGCTAGACTATGTCTGCGCATGAAGTCTTCGCAATCGTCGAACCCGCAGGATACGACTGTGCTCAAGGCCTATTGCGATCGACACACTCCGTCCGACTGGAAGCGTGAGTTTGATGTGGAGAGTGCAATCGCAGATGCGAAGGCCTTCTACCGCCACACCATGCGTCACATTCGCTGGCCGGACAGCCAAGCCTATGCGCTTTCTATTGGATCTTCTCACGCGATGCCTTCCATCGAAGGACCGGACGACGACACCCCTGGATCCAACAAGCGAAAACGTGGGCAATCTACCAAGTCCTGGAGACTGCCATCTGGAGCTCCGGTTGTGCCCCAGGCTGTCTACCACAACGTTGAAAATACCCTGATCAAGTTTAATGTACGTAAGCGTAAGGAATTCGTGCAAGAAGCCTGCAAGTACTGGACGCTCAAGCGCGAGGCACGACGAGGTGCGGCCCTTCTCAAGCGTCTTCAGCTCCAAATGGAGGCCTTCTCTTCTATGGAGATCACTCGCCGCAACTTTGCAGGCATGGGAGCAGCTGGCAGACCCCGACTCCAACGACGCATTGAGTTTGCAGAACGTCTTGAAGATGACATGGAGCAAATCCGTGTCCTCTGCGAGATGGTCAAGCAGCGAGAAGCTGAGAAGCTCAAGGACGTCTTGATACTGCAGCAGATCGTCGATTGCATCTACTTCCCAATACCTCAGCTACTGCAGCCTATCCTGGTGCGAGCACAAACGTAAGCAACCCACCTCTAGATCTTGAATCCCTACTAACTTCGCATCAGACTTGATAGCAGAGGCTACTTCAGCGACGGATTCAACAAGCTTCAGACCAAGCTCGATGAGAAATACTATACTTCGGTGCAGACATTCAACGACGATGTGGCCGCGGTCTTGAGTGCTGAGCTTGGATCTGCCGCTGTCCCCAACGTTGGCGATGCTGAAGATCAGCTGAACAGGAGTGCGCACAGCAGTCTGAGCTCTGAGCAGAAGGAATTGAAGAAGGTCGTTAAGCGAATCACCAAAAGCCTACAACCTTACTTTGAGGACGCGATCCGCAAGGAGTCTGAGCTGGCTGGTCGGCCTTACGAAAAACTACCGGACCTGGAGACACTCCTCAACCAGAAGCTGCAACGCAGGCCGAGCGTCCTGTCTCACGACGAGACTGTGCGACAAACGACGGAAAGCGACCCGACAACTGTTGAGGAAGCTCAGGAAATTGCAGTTGATGGGGAAGAAGCTGCTGTGCTCACTCAGAAACCAGAGGAGATGCAGCTTGCGCCCACACCGGACGAGAACGCCGCAGACGCACATCACACACACCATGCACATGACGAGGCGGCAGACGAGGCGGCCATCGCCATTCAGCTTGGCCAAGATGTTCTTCGCGTGTCCAGCAACCAGCCCGAGAACGCAGTGGTGGAAGCCCGTGTGGAGACCAATGGCCGACCCGAGCCTCTCACGCCCCCAAGATCCGAGAAGAACTTACTCAACCCTCTGGGCAATGGCGGTGTTCCCTGGTACTTTGAGCACTTCGATGTACATGGCACAACCGTGTACGAAGAACGGTACACCGGTCGTGAGGTACTCCGAGACATGAGCGAGGAGCTTAGCGAGCTAGACGACGACGAACTCGACGGCCTGGCCGACTCTGATCCAGTTCGGCCCACAGACACGCCCGAGTCGAATGTCGCCGCAATCAAGAAAGCGGTAGCGCGCAAGAGGCAGAAGAGATCGAGGGGGTGGTAGATGATTGGGTTCACGTTTCTTTTATCCTTT